CGACCAGAGCATCGACCATCTTTTCCGCCAGCTGAACATCATTCACTCGTGGATGCAGGCTCCCGTCCTTGTCGTCCTTCCCAAGGTTGTGAACGTCACTCACCTGCCTCGTTTCGAGATTGAGACTCGTGCCGATGTCGATACCACCCGTCAACGCATGGCCCTGGAGCTGGCCAACTACTGGAACGAGAAGCTCGAGAGCCACGCCAGGACCTGGATGGGCGGTCACGTCTTCCTGCTCGACGCCGATAAGTTCATGGAGAGCCAGGTTGTCACCAAGCAGTTCTCCAACCCCCCGAGCGTCCGCAAGCGGACTCCTGAGTTCGGCGACATCTCCACCCCGTGCCGGACTCTTGTCTACCCGCAGTCGCAAGATGAGGATTCCGTCCAAGAACTTGGTGTGCAGGAGCAGGTCTGCGAGGAGCCGCGCAACCACCTCTTCTGGTGAGTAATCGATTGCTAAGAAAATTTTGCCTGAACGCTTTTCTAACCGAAATCAGGGACGATTACCATTTGTCCGGCAAGGCTCATGAGATTCTGGGCCAAGCTGCTGGCAAGCTCGTCAAGATGCGCTCCACCGCCAACCACTACGTGGCCCAGCAAGTGTCTGAGGCCGTCCGCGATTCCATCCCACCGTGGTTGAAGGATCGCCTGGAAGAGTTCCACGCGAAGAACAGCAGCCAATAAAGCGTTCCCACGTTTATTTTGCCAGCCCTGACGGTCCCTGCACCGTTTGAGAAGCGCCGCGTCGTGCTTCTGCACGAAATCACGACAGTTTGATACGCCATACGCAACAACCAACACGAAGGATGTTCGTGGACTCATTCCCTTTCCCTTTACAGTACCGAATTTAGATGATGGAATATGGAAGGCACCAATATCCGGCTGCCACGGTGGTTATTTTTACTTTGGACCGCTAAAGGTGGAACCTTGGCACATTTCAAACCGCCTACACGTTTACCTTTTGGAGTTGTTCAATCCCGGAGTCTCACGGATTACACGTTCTCCGACATTTATACGGATCCTGGCCACTTATCGCCGCCCAAGGGATCTCCAGCGCGACACAGTCCGGAAGATTGACAAGGCACATTCCAACTCCTCCCTCGTCACATCGAAGGGCAACAATGTCGCCGCCAGAGCCGAGCCGGCTTGGACAGATGACACGGTCTTCCAAACCCACCAGATTTTCCTGAATAATTCATTTACCGCTCGGCCAATCCACAGAGATACCCAGGATACGACGAGGTCGTTCCAACGTTTCATAGCTTCTTGTTTTGCCGCCAGCAGGCCGGTTTTTGTACAGCTTTTTTTTTTTTTTCAAGAGGTTCCTGCGCGCGTTTGGACCTTCGCAACAAGGCGTGTCTGACCACCGTTTTCCTTCATTAGGGTCATCCGCATATTTGCGTTTCAGCGTTGCATCGGTGCGTCATAGAAAGGTCCCCAGTGAATATGTAGGGACTGCTTGTTTTTGATACAAACTTCATTGGACAAACACCAGCAGGTGTGGCTTAGGGTAAACTTTTTTTTTTCATTCTGTTTCTCAACTCTACATCGCAGTTCACGTGTCATGGCAGAAAAGGGGGTTTCTCGACGAAGGGCTTCTTTTTGGGGAACAACATGTTGCTTTGGGTTGTCTTTCCTCGCTGTCCCTACTCGCACTGTTATTCACACATAACATCAACGATAACACAGATCTATCATACCAGGTAAAGCTTAATACGCACACGAATGGGTCCTGATTGGAGTCTCTCATGCGGGGGATAAGAGCAGTCGGAAGTTGGGCCGGCACACTCTTGGCGTCGATGCAACGTACTCTGGTTTCAAGTAGTGGTGGGGGCAAAGGTGCTGTGGAACGGTCCCTCAACATCCGTCCTGTAGCCCACCGCTTGCATTTCGCCACTATCTTGACAGGGCAGTGTCGCCACGGCCCTATTCCCCCGGCTCTTTGGCAGATGGACTCGGCAGGCCACCCTTTCGCAAGGTTATGTATATACGGCACATACCGCAGACAAGCTTTTTATCCCACGCGCACACACCTGAAATGCGCCACGGAAAAGTCTTAGAATAATGTCTTTTTGGTCCCTTCTTCACGACGGCGGTTTCGGGCCGGGGGGCGGTAATGATGAGAGGTTATGTATATACACGAACGAAGAAGAACAAGGGAAGAAAAAAATACAACGTTGCAAATGCACATTCTGTCCAATGAGAAGCGCTTGCGTGCCACGAATGCGATCACGTTTCCATCGTACAACGGGAGGAACGGACGTGCAGTCATCATCATTGGTGGTAATACTACCATGTCCCTGCCTTGGCTAGATGGCCCTCCTTATTATTGTTTGCCTCCTCCTCCCTTCGTATTCCGCGACATGCCGCAAGGATTGCGGATAGGCAGGGCCGGGGGACAAGAGGGAGGGGGGAACATTTGCGGTGGGTGGGGAGGGTCGGTGCTTTTCGCTAACCTATCTATCTGACGCAGGCTAGAACACCGTGTCCGTTGAGCTTTGATTCCGATTCCTTCGCTTCCGGAGGAAGCACGGAAGGTGCGCGGCGTCCTCTTTTTTTTTTTTTTTTGCCCCACAGTTCGGCTCTTTTCCTGTTGTGGAGATGCCCCAGAGTAATGATGAGAAGAAGAAAATACGTAGTATGTACGGATGTTGGATCGTTGGAGAGGAGGGTGGGGAAGAATCGAGGGCAGGACCACGGTTCATACTCGTTACACAACACGGGGAAGTCCCAGGTCCTTGGTACTTGTGTTCTTTTTTTCGGGCGCCTCGTGCGGGTATCGTGGGATAACGGCGGTCGGTTATTTTAGGGGTCGTTCAGGCGTCCTGCGGTTGGGCAAACAAAAAGCTTGGTTTTTATTTTTTTTATCGGCCCCGTTGTTTCTTGTTCCAAGGAAATGGGTCCTTGAATAACCTGTTGGTTAGGCCCCAGCCTGCTTCTTAGGCCGGGCACTTCTCTCCCGTGGCTCTGGCTCTGGCTCTGACACTGACACTGACACCGACACTTGCTAGGCTGGACGGGCCGCCCAGACGGAGATTAGGCGAGGATGTATGTACACAAATGGATCTTGGTGTCAAGCGTTTATGATGGGTTCCCTCTAAATTAACTATGATACGGATCACTATATAATGAAAAATATAGTGAACGGGACATCTCAAGTTATAAGCACTAGGTACACTATTCATTATTGAGTACTAACAGTCCGGCACAAACGCACATTAACTAGAAGTGTAAAGATGATAGCAGTCAGTCTTATATTTGATATTGAATGTGTAAACAGGAAGCCAGGCAAGCGCCATCCGACACTGTAAGGAGAAGGATGACCAGACTTCATCTGGTAAGATATCGCACGTGTGGCTAGGATAGGGTTCCAGTCACCAAAAACAGCCCCAGCTAAGTATAGAGCATCACGGACTAACTAAATTATGCAGACTATTGTTGGTCCGACAGACGTTTCGAGAACCGCAGCTTGCCCCTTCACTCAACGAACGAAACATCAAGGTCCGAAGCCGGAGAGCGTTGGAATGGTTGACACCCATGGCAGACGAGCGACCCCGAAATAATGCATTTCCGGTGCAACGGAGTTCGGCCTTGCACGGGTCGCACACGTCAATGGCTTGTCTTACTTTCGTCATCCGGGGGGTTAAGGTGTACGTGCGACTTTCAGCCTTACGTGGCCCCGGTGGTGGCGTGGCCGCCGCGGTTTCAGAGCATAAGGGCACGGACGCTGGGCTTCCGACGAGGCGAATGTTGATGAGACGGGTGGACACGGATGCAAGTGACGTGGCCTTGTGTTGTCCGAATAAGCAGTGGTATTTGCGGTGTGCGTGCATGGAGAGGTTGGGTTGGCCTTGCTACGGATGTGTTGATCGGCGGGAGGGCTAAGGAAGAGAGAGACTAGCAAGTCAAGCAAGATTACTGTGGAATGGTCGCGCGTGAATATCCGGGGTCGTAAAGGTAGAGCGTTATACGAGGGAACGCTGCTGACTCTGGTGTTGATACTTTTTACAGATTCGAGTAACGTGCGCATGAAGAAGAGATATAGGCCAGAATCAGAGCATTGGTTGAACCGAACTTGTATTCCATCCAACGTTGCGGTCTATGTGAGTTCGTAGTATTAGAAAATAAGCTACACTTCGTTCAGCGGCCGCGTAGGGCAGTGTCTTCACAATCTTTATACTTTCCCTTAGGTCAGTACGGCGAACTCTGAGCAACAAACAGGAAACTTGTACGTAGTTGGCACCACCGAATGGTTGACTATCGCAGTCATAAGCTTCCAAGCTGTTCGTCCGGTAGTGTAAGGACTGAGAAATTCTGTCAATGCTATCTAAGCTAAAGTATAGTAGGTTAAAAATTTGTGTTTTACAGAGGATTTCAGTCAGGCACACCCGCTTACATTAGTCAAGCCGCAGAGACCAATTTCTTAACGATATTATATAATTCCATACTAAAATCAAACGTAGATTTCATATAAATGCGAAGACAATACATGGATACTACTAATAGAATAGATTTTATAAGAACAAATACTGTTGCAACTCACATAACAAGACGAAATCTTTTATCCTCTAGGTTATAGGCTTCTTTTTCTTACTAAATAATCAGACTTAAACCGTTCATGCTAGGAATTACACTCCGCAGAAAGGTTTTTTTTTTTCTCGTTAGATGCCACACACAATGCCGATATACTTAACCTCAACATACTTCACCGGAAAAATGCTGCCATCCAGACCTCTACCAACCCCAAGAGTAGTAATCATCTCAGTCATGACACAAAGAAATACTTTTTTGATTTTAATCCGTCACCATACCTGAAAACTCCGTACCACTAATTTTCTCGCAATCCCTAGGTCTCGTAATCCTGGCCCTCATCCAATAAGTATATCGAACTTACGAAAGCATCTCCCTATCGTACAGCCACCTACCTTTACTCGCCCCAGATTGCTTTTTTCCCGCACAACATCATCGCCTCCACGCCCTACTACCCTCCCCCTCACTCAATCCACCTTCCCCACCCCCCTCAAGCTCAAATACACGTCCGTCCCCCACCCCCAAAGACTCTGCACAGCGATCCCGCCACCAAAATACTCCGCATACGCCCTGCCCAGCGGCAAACCGTACCCCAAACCAGCCAGACTGGCCCCAGTCGGATTCCCCGCATCCCCCCCAGGCCCGCTGATGGCGCTCAACGCATCGAGCGGATGTCCACCACCGACACCGCCTCCACCTCCGCCGCCATGCAGCGACGCGCGCGCGTCGTCCTCGTTGAAGGTGGTGAAGCTGTACTCCCAGATGCGGCCGTAGTTGGCGGGCGCGATGCCGCCGCCGCGGTCGCGGATGCGGATGGTGACGCCGGGCGTGCTGCGCTCGAGCGGGCGGATGTTGCCGCCCGTGGCGCGGCGGCGGGCGGGCGACTGCGCCTCCTTGGCCAGCATGGCGGGCGTCTTGCTCGCGCGGTCCGCGTTGCCCTGGTCGGCGTTGGTGATGCCCGCCGCTTCGGTGTCGGTGTCGGTCTCGTTCTCGTTCTCGCCGTCACGGTGCGGCTGCGGGTTGGCGGCCGCGGGGGCGGGAGGGGTTGGAGTTGGAGTCGGCGGCGGGGTTGACGGGACGGGCGTCTCGGGCAGCGGGGCGATGGTGACTTCGATGGGCTCGCGCTCGACGCCGCGCTCGACGGTGGCGCGGAAGGCGTTCTTGAGCAGCTCGGTGACGATGTACTCGAGGTGCATGGGGATGTGGGCGAAGGCGTAGTCGGGCTCGCCCGTGATGACGACGCGCGGCCGCACGCCGTACTTGAGCTCGCAGATCTCCGACACCATGTTCTCGCAGTGGCGCACGACGTCGGCCGGCCGCAGCTCCGTGTCGATGACGCCGATGAAGCTCGACTTGGCCGCGGCTTCGTCGCCGCTCCGGGCGCTTGCGTTTGCTTTGCCCCCTCCCCCGTCCTCCTCCTGGACCAGCTCGTTGTGCGGCTGCGAGCTCATGTGCAGCGCGATGTGCTGCTCGGCGATCAGCCGCGTCCCGATGCGCGCGCGCAGGTGCTCGTCGAGGAAGCGCGTCACCTCCTGCGGACTGATGTACCGGCGGGCTTCGAGGAAGCCGCGTGCCAGGATGCTGATGGTGTTTGCGTGGGTGTGCACTAGGTCAGCCATGAGCTCGGTGAAGCGAATCTCATCCTCTAGGCTCTCAACGCGCTTCTCCGCCCATGGTAGTAGTGTCGAGAGGGAGTGCAGGTAATTGCCGTGGATCTTGGACACGTGGGGGTTCGAGACGACAATGTAGGGCAGGTTGCGCAGCGACTGGATGCGATGGGCCAGTCGCGCAGGCAGGATCGAGAGGGTGAAGTTGGCCGAGTCGAAGAGCTGCTCGGCGGTGAGCGGCGGTCTTCCATGCCTGCGGCAGAGAGGATGTGTCAGCTTTGGGCGAGGGCTGAGGATAGTGCGAGGGGGCGTTGTACTTGACGAGGTCGGCGAGGGTTAGAGGATGTAGCGGGCTGGCGGCAAGCTGGGCGATGTCATCGTCGGTGACGGTCTTGGTTGGCAGATGGAGCTGCCGAGCGCGGATCGTCGGCGCTGTTGCCCGAGAGACTACTGTCCCGGTGGGCGTGCTGCTGCCACGGATCGGTATGGAAGCAGGCCTGAGAAGTGAGCGCAGCATCGTTGCCGTCGCTCGTCCTCCAACGGGTTGGACGTGTGCCCAGGCTAGCTATCGGTGCTTATCAACCCACACCATAAGTACCCGTCACGTGGTGATAACAGAGCTCGAAAGAGCTTGCAGCAAGCTTCGAGAACGCCTCTGATATCATCTCGCATACTGGCAGTCGCCCAATCATGACCGCTTATTTCCAAGTGAGCACACTGGCTTGAAGCACGCAACAAACTGACACCTCTTGTATGACGTCCACGTCTGAGTTCACGTGGCTCTTCTCGACTTTTCTAACCGCCCTGCTGGCTATCATACATCCATGTCCTTTTGTGGCGCCCATGTCGAAATCAAAATCAAAAACATCCGCCGAGAGGTATCCAAATCTTATGCGCAAGCCCAAAAAAAGTCGCAACGCCAACGACAACAAAATCAAGGGATATCCTGTTCCAACCTGGAAAATCAAAACCATCTTCGCACTGTTCAGCCGCCCAACCCATCTGCCAGACCCCAGAAACTGTAAAAGGTACAATAATACAACAAGAGAAGAGAACAAGAAGACCATCAGCCGGTACGAAACCAAGCACAAGGCTGTAAAGTGTTCACACGTAGAAGGAAACTGGCTGGAAACTGTGCTGTCTTTCCAACTCGCCATTAGCCATTAGCCATTACCAACAGCGATCAAGGTAAAGCTCAAGAGATCTGAACAGAAAATTGTATGGGCAATATGCGAAGCAAAACATCGTCGAGTCCCGTGATAAACAGTCATGGTCTTTATGCCATCACTACCGTCTTGATAGTCGTCGTTGAGCGATCCGAGCTGGGCAGAGGGGGAAGCGGTGCATTTGGTGGCGGTGCTGGCAGTGGCATATTTGGCGGTGGTGCTGGTGGCGGCAACCCAAGCGCAGGCATCGAGCGCATCTGATGTACCGAAAACCGCACTTGCCCGGGAAATCTCGTAGATTCCGCCTGAGCAGACGAGGGCCGAGCAGACGAGGGCCGAACAGGCGGCTCCAAAGAAGGAGAGCGGTTGCGAGCCGACACGCCCATTGGACGGCGGGTAGAGAGGAATGCGGCTGGCTCCGACCGAATTTGCATGCTCGTTGGACGCCGGAGCGCTGGCTGCTGCTTTGACTGCGGCTGTTGAGGAGTGGGCGGCAGCTGCAACGTGGGAGGCGGAGAACGCATGGGGGGTAGAGTTTTGCTTGGGGGCCGGGTGGTAAGTTGCGGAGGGGTTTGTGTGGGCAACTGCGGCTGAGACGCTCTCTGTCTGAGAGCCGGAGTCGGGTTGACATTGACCGGGAGTGTAGGCCCCAGTGATGATATACGACGCGCTGGCATAAAAGTGGTAGGTCTGATAGGGATCGGACGGAATCCAGGATTTGGCGACGGAGTTTGGCGTTGTGTTGAATTGGCACTGGGGTTCGACGCATATGCGAGACTGCCAATTGTGGATGGTGGGCAGACAGACTCGGCTGTGTCAGTCGAAACAGCTTGGCCAGCAGGTATGGCCATTTTTTCAGGCGGTGCGCTCGCGCTGCGAATCGTAGGCATCGGGGTATAGCTGTGAGACACATGCAGATTGAAAGGCCGCGAGAAGGACATGCGGTTTTTGATCGTCCTGGGTGCTGAGCCGTCGGGGGTGGGGGACTTGTGACCATCCTCTGACGGTGGGGCCGGAGATTGTCTCGCGCCTGCTAGAGCGGCGTCGAATGGGGACTGTCGCTGTGACCTGTGAGGCTGATCCTCATCTGTAGGGGAGAGCGGTTGCATGGGCATGGATCTCCGCCGGGTGCTGGTGCTGGGGCTCATCGAGAAGGATTTCAAGGTCGTCGGGCTTAGTTGGCTCTCATCTCCGGGTCGCGGTGTAGAGTCTCGAACAGGAGAAGGAGGGCCAGTTGAGGCTGGGGGAGAGGTGCCTGAGGTCCTGTTCGAAGCCATCGACAGTCGCGAGTCCTCTCTCAGTTGATTCAGCTGGTTCCCATCGTACGAAGTTGTGGCCATCGATGAGCCCTCCACCGACCGTCTCTTGAACGTGAAGCGAGAGGTAGTGGACGCTGCGTCCGACACATTCCGACGCATGGTGGCAGAAGACCACTCCATACCGGGCTGGGCCGGCGATCCAACGGGTGAAGTCAGCGGCGAACGTTCGTTGTCAAACCGGTTGGGGTCCCTCTGGACGTAATAACGATGGCTGGGCATCTTGGTGTGCTTGCGTAGTCCGTTCTCTTGGCTGTTCTCCTGGTCCACTTCTGATCTTGTCTTGCGCCCTGCAAGGATGTCGATTTCTTGTCTGATGGCTGTCAACCACTCTCCCATCTCCTCGGGGGTGTCGAACACAAGAAGGAGGGTCGTGGCTGTCCTCTTCGCAGCGGTACCTTGCATGCGCAGCCGGGATAGGAGAGACCTCGGCTGTTGCGCGGTCACGGTCCCATCGTCGGTTGTGGACTGCGAGATCTGCAGAACCCAATGCTTCCCTGGGATAAGATCACATGCGAATGCTGCGGAGTCCTTCCCCAGCTGCAGGATCTTTTCGGGCATTCTTTCGGCCGGGCCTTCACCCGAGTATTGGAGCAAGTAGCCGGAAGTGGACAGTACGTAAATCTTGTGGGTCATGTCGGGAGGAGCAGCAGCCAAGGTCGAGCTTGTCGACATTCTCTTCTCCCGTTTCTGCAGTTTTTCAGCGGCGGGCGACGTCTCGTCACTGCCATTGGACAAGTCCAGCTTGCTTTGGAGGTTCTCCCTGAGGATACTGTATTGTCTCTTGTGCGCCTGGGTGGATATAATGGCCTCGGCCGAGGAATTGGTCGCCTGCAGCATGGCATGCTTGAGCGCCTGCGGGTAGACCTGGAATAGCGGCGGCGGCTCCCAATTGCTCGACCCTCCTGTTCTTGACCTCCGGTTGAAGGAGCTGCCGCGCGACTTGGGTGCCACGGCGGACGGGTCAGCTGGGTTGTTGGGCGCGGTCTGCGGAGTAGCAGCGACGGGACTGAGGGCGGCGGTGGGCATGGCCTCGGGGCCGTCCGGAATGGTGGGCAGACCAATCTCGTGGTGGCCGCGTGCTCTCTCGACTCTGGGGCGGCTGAAGAGGCTGAACAGGGACATGGTCGATTTGCGGTTCTCGAGCTTGGCCGGCGGGTCCGGCGCAGGCTGGGGCGGCGGCGGTGCGACCTTGTGCTCCGGCGGGGGTGGTACGACGAAGCGAGAGCGTCTCCAGCGCGAGCTGTGCGGCACCTGGGCGCTGTCAAGCTGCGTCTGGAGAGGCAGGAGGGTTTTCTGGCCTCGGCGCGAGCCGACGGACTCGGCGGCCTGGTCGTCCTCGGCCATGACTGGCACAGCGGAGGACGCGTGGTCAGACGGCGCAAGGGAGAGACATGCACTCGGCCGGGCGCCGGACGGGTGGCACTGGGAGGCCTGGGGCTCGTGGACACGAGGGCAGCGGAAAGCGAGGGAGCGCAAGGGAAGTCGAGAGGGAGGAGATCGAGGATAGAAGTCGGGAGGGCGCGGGCGGCGGGCGTGACACAAGACGCTCGAGGTCAATTTACCTGGGACAGCACTGCAGAATTTGAAGCGGCGCGACCCGGCTGATGGCTGCCAACGAGTCGGCGGCCGGGCTCTGCGGTTGGCGCAGAGGGCACAGAGGGCATATCCGTGAGCCGCAGCGAGCGGGAGGCAGCCGGCGCAGTGATATGCCACGGCGGCCGCGCAGGCAAGCGGTTCCCAGAAGAGTCGAGGGTCAAAAGGGAGACCGGCTGCTGGCCCGGCACCGGGAGGCTTTGGTGAGCGGTTTCACCTTGGCGGCCAGGAGTTGGCGTGCTGCACAAGAGCGCTACCTTCGTTTCAACGCGGGCAGGGCGGGCCTAGCGCGCCCGTTCGCTGAATTGGACGCGTCCGAAAGAGGAGCAGCCGCACCGCCAACGGCGCGCGTGGCCGACCGAAGCGGTGCCTGGGCGGCCTGTGTTCCTGGCGGGGGTGCGCGTGCAGCGCCGGCCGCAGCATTTGGCCATAAGCGCGAGGGCCCTGCGTCGGCCGGCGTGTGGGCTGCCAGCCGCCTCGCCATTGGCTGTGCGGCTGATCGCTGGCTGCAGGTGACGCATGCAGCGGTGGGCTGTCGGTGGGGAGACCTCATCATCGCCCGTCGAAAGCTCATCCCGACTACAAAGCAGAACGCCTGCGATATCCATGCCTGACATCAACAGTCTCCCGGGTGCACTCCCCACCATGGCTACAGACAACCAAGCCCCCAGCCCGCACCAGGCCCCGCACTCGCTGGCCGCCGCCGCCGCGCTCAATGCCCACGAGGAGCGCCGCTCCACCAGCTCGAGCGCGCGCAACTCGACCAGTCGCCGCCGCTCCAGCGTCCGCATGAACCTCAATCTCATGGACCCCAACCTGCCCATGCCTTCCGAGGTCCAGATGAGCCCGACGCTGCACTCGCACCGCCCGTCGTGGCCCGCGAGCCCGTCGCACCAGCGCGCCCCGAGCCTGGGCGAGATCCACCAGGAGCTCGAGAACGAGCAGGAAGCGCAGGTGGTATGGCGATCCCCCTCTTTGCGTGCTTGTTCAGTCGCTGGCTGACGCGCTTGTTGTGCGCTTCCAGAACCGCCTGCTGCAGATGATCCGTCGCCAGCAGACAGAGATCGCTACGCTTCGGGCCAACGACAGCACCCCGCCAGCCTCTGGCCCACGCGACAGCGCCATAGACGACAGCACCCCCTCTTCCGAGCGCTCTCTTTCCCTGCCCCAGTCCGCTACCGCGTCCCAGTCCAACGTCTCCCAGATTGCCCCTCCGCGCTCCCGTTCGCCGATGCCGGCCGCCCAAGGCCCCGGCAGCCTCTCGCGCAACAGCAGCCACCGACAGTCCCGGAACAGTAGCAGGACGGGCAGTCCGGCTCTGCGCCCAATATCCCACCACAGTGAGAGCGGAGATTGGCTGCTTGGAGCCTCGGGCAGCAGGGACGAGAGCGCATTCTACCAGGCTGAGACGCAGAACCTCACGCGGGAGAACCAGATGCTCAAGATGAGGATTCGCGAACTTGGTGCGTATATAACCACATTTAGCTAAGCGAGACTGTTGCTGACACGGGCAGAACGCCAACTTCATGATCTTAACCCAAGCTCCCCTCAAGCGCCCGCCATCAGCTCGAACCTCTCCAGTCCGCCGCTCCGCCCGGCTGAAGAATCAGCCACGGCGGGTGCCGGAGCTAGCGACGCCCGTCCTGCTCCCGCCGACGCCGGAGCCAGTGCGACGCCGGCAACGTCCGCTTCATAGGCGCACTAGAGGGCTGTTGTAATAATAAGCTCCACTCTGGTTGGTCTCGTATCAGGAGCCTCTGTTTCCAATTTTGGAATTTCTCGGCATTTCGTAGGCAGGCAGCACGGCGCAAGGCATCCGGCATCGACAAGATGTCAATGGGTTATCGGCTTTCGGTGAGCGAGTCTATAGGATTTTACTTTCGGTCAGGAGTGATGCTGGGAAGGGTTCTCTCGGTGATGTCTAATGTGATCGGCGGTGTCTGGCGCAGAAACAAGGGTGCGTATGGTGCGGCGCAGCAGGGGGGTTTCAGGCGACGACTTTCTTCGAATCTTTACGAGCAACTGTGAAGCGGCCATATTTCTGGCGGGCCCAATCCAAGGGCATCATTCTGCAATCCCGAATTTCTGGTGGGGCTGAACTGGAGATGAGCGACGGTCATTACAAGTGCGCTTCGCGCGTCAGCCTCGCACCCCAACGAAGACTATGCGAGGTTGTCTCCACACAGCACAGAACTAGGTACTGCGTTGCCTTCCATGCCCGAGGAGTTCTATCTTCGTTTCCGTCCAATTTGTTTAAATTGATCCACACGGCTGTGCCGCTTTCCCCTCATTGGGCCCACCGCCAACGGCCGAACCAACCAAACACGAGAGGACTGCATTCCCACTGAGACATCGATATATTCAACCATGAACTTGGGCTTGGCAGCGCAGCCGCGCAGCCACGCCTGGCGGACACCATTGCACCCTGTCACTTATAGCGGAGGTACGTATAGATGCGACCCACAAAAGAAGATGAGAATCTGAGCAGGCAACCATGGACGCGCAGTAGTTCAAGAAGATGCCGTGAAGACATGTTCGTGCTCCATCTCATCGCTTATTGCCCCTTTCGGCAACGCCTCGACGGATATTGGTGCCCCACTTTCCCTGCTGCCCCCCTTCTTCCCTTTTCCCCACCCCTCCCGAATCCGATCGCCGCGATAAGGGGTGTGTGGAGAAGGGGAGGAGTTCGATGCGCTCCCTGTCACCAGTGCGCTTTCTCGCCTTCCATGCTGTCGATGCGTCTTAATTGGCTAATCATATAGCTGCCCAACGACGGTGCTGCTGCCGCCGCCTCCGCCGTTGCCGCTGCTGTGCCACGAAAACAGCCCGGGCCAGCCCTAGCCTCCACCTGAGTAGTGTTGTGTTGCTAATCACGGTGGCAGCACTAGTAGTAGTCGACTAAAAGCTCTGCACTAGGTATGTGGCGGGATGGTGAATAACGGCTGTTAACCGATCGATCGTGTGGAAAGCACAGGTGAACAACGGCGGGCAGATGGGTGGTACGAGCACGTGGAGAGATGGACACTATTGTTTCATCGTAGAAACAGCCGTGCAAGCGGAGCCGCAAGCATGGGCATCCTCGAGGCATGGCGTGGACGACATCAACTCGGACCATGGCTTGGCGCAAAGGTCTTCGGCATTTAGGAAAGCGGGCGAAATGGTGTATGCTTGCTCGTGGGCCGCTTGCCTGGTTGGGGCGGAAAAGAAGACAGCAGTTAGTTCCCTCTCACAGTGACCATTGATTGGATGAGCTTACATAGCTAGTGCGGGTTGGAAGCTGAAAGTTGAAAGCCACCCCACATTATTTCACCACAGGTCTCAGACATGTCGACCGAATACGGAACTTATGATCACCATCCTCAGAGTACCTGACTCTCTCCTTTCTAGATCAAACTGATTGTGACTAGGCTTTCGACCTTACGGCATCTCCCTTCATTACCCGACTTACTGTGCCACCAATTGACGCGCGCCTCACTTTTCTCGTGCCCGTCCGTAATAACGTTTACTCGGGGCCGACGTAATCGCTTGATCGTCTCGCATCTCTCCCTCTCGGCATCCGAGCTTGTCTTGGCAACCGAGGCCTGGATTGGAATTTGGAAGGAAAAAAAAAAAGGGAGTGAACGAAGACGCAAGGACGGCCAGATTCTCGAGTCGCAGGGAAAAGCCAGCTTGTCGAGCCAGACGGTGGTGCTGAAGCTTGTGCTCGTGCTCGTGCTCGTGTTCAGGCGTCATCGTGGCCGGATACTACGGGTCACATGGTCCCTCTCCCACATTCCGCGCGCATGACATTACAATACAGGCTGATGTCAAAAAAATGTCGTTCAACGGCCAGACGGTGGCTTGGAAAGGTGACGATGTGGTGGACTGATCTTCCGAAAGCTTGGGAAAAGGGAGGAGGGGGGTGGTGGGCAGTGTGATGAGGAGACGGCTCGTCGGCGGGTCCGGTGGCTGGCTGGCTGGGCTGATGAAGCGGGACGGCTGGCTGGCCTGCGGCTGAACACTCTAGTCCTGCGCGCCGTTGCGACCGCATGTGCCACTGCAAGGCGGGCTAACGAGTACACACAGCACTTGCCTGCCCGAGGAGGGGGGGTGGACTACTAGCTGGCCACACCCTCGGATGTCTCTCCGATCTGTGGGCTGAGCTAGGTACATACCTGAGCCTGCGTTCAGGCCGCCTCGCGCTGTTCGTGGCTATGCCCGCATCCCTAGGAGCTGGAAGAATGCCGGTTGTACATAAGCTGCGGCCAGAGCGAATGACCGGTCGTGATGGTGACCATTGCGGCATGCAACACCGCTGGCGTTACACAAGGCTGACAGGGTCAAGTATGGACTAACGTAGGTTCCAAGTCTTTCGTGCAGCTGGGATGATGGAATTATCCCATGCCGGGGAGGATTGATGACGGCATGTTTACAATGGCATTGACACCTGGAGGAAAACATGGTGTGCAAGCAACCACATTACTAGAGAAAGAAATCATTATTGAAAAGACCTGATGGGTCAGTGTAGATCAAGTGATTGAACTTCTTAGGGACGATGCAGAGTGATCTGCTTCCAACCCTCCTTTTCTTTCCTTGTGACTGAAATCGAATGAGCCGTGGACAAGCAAGGTTGCCGCCAGATGACGTAGTGAAGTGAGCTACTACAATCAGTTCTGGATCAGTCAAACAAAAAAGCAGCAACGCAAACTGGTGGAATAAGTGAGTCAGCATATCGCTACACATCACATTTTGCCTAAGAGGCAACTTATTGCATGGACGCGTCCTGGTCTAGAAGACCACCCTTGATTCCAGCTACTTCGAAGCAATTAACCATGTGATCCTACCAGCATGCTATGCACTCCACAACACCTTTTCCTCCCTGTCCACATGCCGGTAGTGTGATTGCTAAAAGAGCAGGAGGTACGATAGGGGAATAAAACATAACGCCGTATTTGAGGAAAGGATGGACATGTGTGATCCCTGTTGTTGATCGTAGCCCGAAAAAGCCCAGGCAACGGCTTTTATTGAAAGATCTACGCCGAGGTTATTGGATCCACCCGTCACCTTCCAAAAGGGCGTGCAGTAGCCTGAGTAGCCTGTCTTGCGGCGCAAAGGAGATTAATAACACATGAATTCGAAAATAAACAAACCCGGTTCTATCTACTCGTCATCGGCCTCCTCAACACTCGCGTGGATTCGTTGGCGAACGTCTCCAGCCGGCTGTTCAACGCCAGTCGGAGCAGAGGCGTTGTCGACAGGCGCCTCGGGAGCTGCAGCGGGTTCTTCCTTGACTGGCGCTGCAGCAGGTGCAGGTGCAGCGGCTGGAGGATTGGGTCCATGTGCGTGGGCGTGGTTGTGCGGGTGATCGTGGCTGTGAGCGCCGGCCTCCTTAACCTTCTTCTTCTCAGCCCTTTCCACCTTTTTCGCCTTCTTTGCCTCCCGTACTCTCTTCTTATCTTCCTCGGTCTGCGCAATGAATTAGTTTGTGTCATTCATATTTTAATTGGAAATCGTCGGGAACTGGAACAGACGTCTCGAGAAGGTGTCAATCACTTACCTCTTGCCACGCCCACACGGGCCGGAACGAATCGAAGAACCCGACATCCTCGAAAAGGTTGGGATACAGCCAGAGACCAGGCGGAACGATGAAGACCGTGATGCAGAACAAGATCAAGCGGAAAATAGCCATGGCAAAGAAGAGGCCAATCAAACCCAACATGCCCATGCTGAGGTACCAGACGCCTTGACGCATAAAGAGCGGCCACAGAGGGAACATGACGACAGCAAAGACTGCAACAAGAGCAAGGCCAGCATACAGCTTCTGCTTCCACTGGGGGCCTTCATATAGCCACACATAGTGCGAGTCATCATCCGCGTTCTGCTGCTGCTCCACACGCACGGTCCAGAGTCCCTTGACACGCTTCTTCTTTCCATGACCGTGGCCTTCGTGCGGGTCGAATTTGGAGACACGGAGAGCAAGAAGGGAGAGAGGAAGCAGCTTGAACGCATTCTCGGCAGAAGCACGGTCGGTAACAGGCGGCAGGAGGTTGTTCTTCTTGCGGGCTTTCTCGTAAGCTTCGGAGTGGAGAGCGCGAATGGCGCGTTTGACTGGAGCTTCAAGTTAGTTAAGATGTCGAAAAAGAGTTCGCATACACCTTACCTCGGAACATGTCCTTGCGCTTCTCGTTGAAGATGCACGTGCGAGGCTTCAGGTCCTGGCTTCTGAGGAAGTTCGCAACAGCGAGCGCCTGAGGAGTTGGCGGACCGGGCTGAGCAGGCTGAGCTCCGGGAGGCATAGGGCGCGGTTGTCCTGGCTGCGGAGGCGGGCCACCTTGCTGAGCAGCTTGCTGCTGAGCCTGCTGCTGCATCATCTGCTGTTGGCGCATGGCTTGCGCCTTCAGCTGCTCGACGTACTGCGGCACGGTCATGCCGTGCTTCTGCGCCTCTGCAGCCAGTTGGCGCTGCATGAATTGAATTTGCTCCGGTGTAGGTTGTTGTCCTGGACGGAGCGGCGGCGGCATGGGACCGCCGGGGCCTGGCATCGGCTGTCCAGCTTGCGGGCCTGCTGGGCCTTGGGTGGGAGGCGTGGCCATCGTTGGTGAAAGAGCTGCAGAGTTGAGGGAGTGAATTTGATGAGTAGGAGTCGAGACGCAGGTGGAGAGCGGCGCGGGTCACTCTCTGCAAGCACGCGTCCTGAACGAGGCGGGCGCAAGAAAAGGCAAGGTTGCGGATGCGGTTTGGATAAAGACACATCGCATCACTGCAAGCGGTCGGCCATGGTGTTCGCCGGCGACCGCTAGCGTGCCAAGCCAACGGGCGCCAAGCCCCCACACTGCAGCCGAAAAGCACTTTTCCTTCGATATCGCGCTCATCTCTTCTTCTGCACCCGCGACACCTCAACCTCACCGAAAGAGACAGACTACCTTACAGCACTAGCCATGCCGTAAGTATCGTCCTTTCGGGCTCTGGCTATTTCTCCAAGGCTAATGCCCGCGTGCTCGCAGTCCCAAGCTCGATCCCAATGAGGTCAAGATTATCCACCTGAGGGCCACGGGTGGTGAGGTTGGTGCCTCGTCTGCCCTTGCGCCCAAGATCGGTCCTCTTGGTCTGTCTCCCAAGAAGGTCGGTGAAGATATCGCCAAGGCCACGTAAGTACTCTTCCGCGCAAGCAGATGCGACGAGCGCAGCGCTGACAGACGGGTGTTTTTCAGTGGTGACTGGAAGGGTCTCCGTGTCACGGTCCGCCTTACCATCCAGAACCGTCAGGCCGCCGTCTCGGTCGTTCCCTCCGCGTCTTCCCTGGTCATCAAAGCCCTCAAGGAGCCCCCGCGTGACCGCAAGAAGGAGAAGAACATCAAGCACACCAAGTCGATCCCTCTGGACGAGATCATCGAGATTGCTCGCACCATGAGGTTCAAGTCCATGGCCAAGACCCTTGAGGGTACCGTCAAGGAGATCCTCGGCACTGCTTTCTCCACCGGCTGCCAGGTTGACGGCCGCTCGCCCAAGGACATCTCTGACGACATTGAGTCTGGCGAGATTGAGAGTAAGTCTTGATTGCCGACTGCGACTGGGTCCGCATGCTAACGAGCATATAGTTCCTGAGGAGTAGATACCCACGAAAAAGCAAAATCTCAATCCACTTAACGTCGTACGCATAATGTTCTGCGATCACGATGGTCATGTCATTGGGCATTAGGGAAATCAAAAGTTCGTTCCCGCCGAGGATCGGGGTCGTTTTGGGTCCGAACTGTGCCTCTGCAACAACTGTGACTATGTCGTACCCTTGCCAACACTCTGGCCCTTACTTTCTCATCCATGGGATAGGCCTATTTTGGTGCAAGGAAGATTGATCCGACCTCTGCTCATCGCGACACCGTGCCCTTCGGGGCTGTGGTGCAGCGATCCATCTTTAGGGTCTACATGATGTTGTGCACAAAGCCCCTGAAATAGCTTTGATAATGAAAGCGGAAATACAAGTAATGATTGAAAATTTCCACTTTCGTGAGGTGCTGCGTAGACTTTCCGCAATGAGAAACCAGTTTATTGGCAATGCACCATTGTGACAGAGAGGCTCCTCCCCGGAGGAACCTCCTTGGTCGATTCAAGCATTCATGATCGGGTGGCTTGGCACCGTGTGTTCGGCGTCGTCGTCGATGCGGCGGGTGGACGTTCAAGCTCGTATGGAAGTAATCTCTTGCGGACCAAGTACGGGCTGGGCAGGTTGCAAATTTGACGGCGTCTTCAGCACGACAACAGGTGTCAAACGTCAAAGTGGATGTTATGGGAAGTCATGGGACGTTGTGACAGTAACTAGCCGTGTCGATCGGATCCACCTGGTAGACGAGCATCAAACACGGGTCCAAAGCTACGTGTGCAGCTGCGCGTTCATCGGGTGCAGACAGGGCAGCAAAGAGACCAAGCTCTGTTTCGTCACGGACACAGGGGCGACAAGCAAGCTCCGGTCGCGCGTGCCTGGCCCAGGGGCACGGAGGAGCTGGTGTTGAGGAGGGTTTGGGGTATATACAGGTGCTCCGCCGTAAGAGAGTGGCAGCCCTGGCCCCCCCGGCTTGTCGGCGGCAGGCTATAATAAGCACAGTGCATAAAGAGCGCACATGCCTGTCCATGGCTGCAGTGGACGGCAAGCAGCGGCACAGCGCTGTAAGGCTGTCGGACAAAAGGTGAGCACAGGATGCTTGTTCCCGCGGCGGGCTCGCCGAGCAGCAAGCGTCCAGCTGCTCTCTCTGAAGCAGCGGGCACTGCGCGACGTTTCAACGGCGACTTGAGGCGGGCTGGGCGCGCACCAAGATCCGGCGGGCCATGTGAAGGATGTCGTGCAGGTGGGCTCCTTACATAAAGCACCCGAGGCTGGGTGGCACAGGCAGCATTAGGTGAGCGGAGCTCGATGCATGCGCTCAATAAAGCGGGCGATATTATTGAAGAGGCGACGCATGCAGCGGCGCGGGCGGCACGATCTGGGCGCGCGGACCCGCGCGATGGCGCAGCGGGCGGGCGGCGTCGTGGAGGAAGGCGTTTGGCCTGCTTGGCCTGCTTTGCCTGCTTTGCCTGCTGGCTGGTGGTGCAGCCCTCACCGATTCGCGCGACAGAAGGTCCAGCAGCTTCCATGCCGCGCAGCCCTGACTCAGGCCGGGCGGCCCACTCCGTGCCATCCGAAACCCAGGCGCGCAAGGATGGATGTTGCTTCTCCACACTCTCTGGCGTCGCGGTGCCATCGGTGGGACCAAAGGCCAACGGCGGCCGATCGCTTCCTTTGCGATGGCGTGTCGGCAGGGTTTAGAGGACGCCACAGGTGATCAGATAAAAAGCAGTGCAGCGACGCCGTACGGCGTGCGCCTGGGCGCTCTCGGCGCAGCTCATATCCCCAGCCCCGGCAGCCTCCACGCTACACGCATGAGCATGCCAAGTTTCTCACCCAGCCTTGCCTTCTTCATCCACCCACGCCTCACGCGCAGGCGCTGCTGCAAACCTCTCCTCCCAGCCAGCTGCGCCCGTCTCGTCGCCGCACCATCGCGCCCCGCCAGCGCGCTACCTGCGGCTGCCCGACCAAAGCTCCCCAGCGCGCCGCGGCGCCCGCTGCGCAAAGCCGCGCTGCCCGCTGCCCGCTGCCCGTCGCTGCCTGTGGCCGCCCTGGATGCTGCCAGCTGCCGCGTCGGTAGAGCGCAAGGCAGCCTTCAACCGCGCGTCGGTCGCAGAGCGCCCCCCGGCTGGTAACCTCTTCTGTTCAGCTCTGTCAGCGTCAGCTTATCTGTAGACCTTTGCCCCACGCCGGTTCGCCCAGCCGCGGCACGGCGCGCGCTGCTGAGTGATACATTCCCGTCGTCGGAGTCGTGCGCCGTCAGACAGCTGCTCCCTTGCATTATCATCGCATAGCATCGACTTCTGAGACCCATCTTGACGCTTTGTCTCCTACACCGCCGGCGCATCACTGCCTTACCTCGCTTCTCTGCCCTCGCTCCGTTCCGTTCCCTGCCGCCGAGGCCCTCAGCCTGCTGCCGCGACCAGCGCCTTCGCCAGAGCATCCGTGTCCGAAGACCTCCGCCGAATCCACGGCCGGGATCTCTGCTGGTGCCTGCCAGTAGAGAACGCCGGACACCATCACGACGAGCGCGCTATACACGACATGTCATGCGTAGGCGGCGGGACGATTTCTCTACGCAAAGGCATAGGCACAGCCGGTCTACTCAGACTGCCTATATGATAGAGGACCCTTCAGTCTCGACCCTTCTCCGCTTGGGACCCAGCCCTCGACCGTCTCGCTTCCAGAGCCGATCGATATTTTTTTCAGCGTTTGTACGAGTAGGCCCTTAGACATGACGATGATACGACAATACCCCCCGCAACCCCAGGCCCCAGCCCACCTGTTCGGCCGCGATACATCGTACGCAAATTACAACTCCCTTCCGACCACGCCTCGCATGGGTCCCGTCCCAGACAAGGTTTCCCGTGACCACCAGCTCCAGCTGCCGCAACAGTACGCCCACCCGCTCCAAAGGACCAATTCCTTCCCGCTGCGTGGCTCGACGAAGGCGGGACACACCGGTTCGGAACGATCCGAGAACATGCTACGCCGGAAGACGCCAAATGGTATCTTGCCCGAAGCATACGACGGTAGCGCTTCAGAAAAACCACACGCCATGAAGCACATATTGCTCCCGGTCACAACGGTCGACGGCGCTGTACAACAGCCCGCCATTCCGTATGGCCCTACCCAGGAGCTCCCTCTCCGCACGCCTGGCATGATACCGCAGGGGTCGCACAACCAGCCTCAGCAGCGAATGCTGCCCGTAGAGGGCTGGAACTTCAGCCAATTCAACTTTGACCCTCCAAACGTGAGTCGGAAGCGAGGCCAGCAACAGTTCTCTCAGATTGATTCAATGCTGAACCAGGTGCCGACACCTCAACAGCAGCTCCAGTATTTGCAGATGGGTCAGCATTTTGGCGGCGCATTGCAGCCACCTCTGCAAGCTCCCCTGGGCCCCACCGTGTCAAATGAAACGGGGCTTTACGGACCATACTGGCCGGACGGCACGTATGTTCCCTATCGTCCTGCGGCTGTAAGAGATCCTCGGTTTTATGCAGGTTCCGTGTCCCCGTGGAATCATCAACAGTCAAGTTTCAGCAACCGAATGCACGGCAACTGGCCTCCACTTGGCACCACCCCCATAGACTCGTCCAACTGGAAACCCCAGCAACCCTCTCAACTTGCTCACTCAATTACGCCTGGCCCTGTTGGATACAACGCAAGTGGAACTCCACATGGGCTAGCACAGAACCTCAATAATCCTAATGATCAAAACTGGCTTTCTGGGCAACAGCAGTCTCCACAGCAGTATCTTGGATCTAGTCAAAGTGCCCTTCAAACTGGCTATCACAACAACAACAACAACAACATCAATCACAATAATTTCCAACGTCCTTCACTATCACACCAATCAGCTTCATTTCACCCAGGAGATGTTCTGGCTCGAGATCTTACCCCTCTGGCAACATCCCATTCGGAATTGGGACCCACGTCCAACAGTGCCCAGAACCGAGAGCGGGCGCTTGACTGGGCCCATCAAATCTACATCGAGCTTCTGAGCTATCTACACCATTCCCGCCGATCCGGTCACCATGCGAGAAACATCCACGGACAGCCACAACCAAGCATATTTCCAAAGCCTCCTCGGCAGCCTGGTGCAGACTTCTCGGCATCATCAAAGTACTCTGATTACCGTCAGCAACATGGTTCACACAACGGAGGGATTGTCGACTCGAATTCCGCACTCACCCATGCTCGTTCGAATTCCTTTTGGAAGGATCACCAGCGAAGCTCATCGTGGCATCAGCCAGTGGTCAACAACATGACAATACAGCAGTCTGTACAACCTGCTGACACCTATCGGAGTCTGCGAAGAATGTCGGGTACCACATTCCCGCCTATGTATCCATCCGTCACCCGCGATCTTCCTGGAAACGCATTGGCTGCTATTGATCAAATAACACAGTTTTGTCAAGAAAGCTCGTGGAAGTGGATTGATGGAATTTTGGTTGGTGGTTGCCTCGCTTATGCACTGGGTGACTATCAAAAGGCCTTGGTTTGGTATTCAAAAATCCTGGACATGGACCCAGACCACGTGGAGGCGTTGTCAAATGTTGCCGCAACACTTCATTCTTTGGGCAGGAAGCAGGAAGCCGAGCAGCATTGGTGGAAGGCCATTCAGTTGCGGCCATCATATTTCGAAGCTGTCGAACACCTGGTCCAACTACTTTGCACAGATCACCGTGGCAAGGAAGCTGTCAACATCATTAACCATATCGAGCGTTCTCTGAAGATGCCAAACACCTGCTCCGATCGACGAAGCGAAGTCTCAAGTGGAGGGAGATCGCCCCAGTCCGAAGTTTCCGACAAGCCCGCCTTTGACTTCGATGTAGAGCAAGACAATCTGCCAAAGGAGCTCAACAGCATGCCTGGTTCCGACTTGCCCGGATTTGGAACGAGTGGTTTTGCCATATCAGGATCCGAAAATGGTCGTATGCTCTCGCTCATCCACGCAAAAGGCAACTTACTTTACAGCATGGGTGACAACGCCGGAGCCGCCCGGGCTTTTGAGAACGCTGTGCTTATCAGCGCCGGCAAGCGTGCGGGTGGCATCAGTACTCTGATCAGGCATATTCTCAAGGTTGTTGACGAGGACGAGTTTGGAACCGCTACCCCTGGCACCCATGCGTCGAGCTCCGTCGAGCCCATCCTCCTTCCACCCGTGGCAGCCCTACGGACTGCACAGCTTGCCTTCCCCAACAACGGCGATCTCCCAGGCCTCCGCTACATCTCGGGCAAGGGGATGGCTAGGAGAGCTGCGATCTCAACCACCAGCAATTCTCTTCTGTCGCTCGCCAAGATTTTCCAGGACGGAATGGCTTCAGGCTTGCCGAAGGCGGCTTATCAAGCCGCATATGGCGTTCGCGAAATCCTTGCCCTTTACTATCTTTCTCTCTCGCTTCAACCGAGCCCATCAACTGCTAACAACGTCGGAATCCTCCTTGCAAGTGTTCAACAGACAATTCCTCCGAAGAAGATATACCAAGATCCCCAGCAGGCAAGAATACCGGGAGTTGTTCCAGGGAGTGGCATTGCTTTAGCTTTGGCCTACTACAATTATGGACTCAACCTCGACGCTGGCCATGCTCACTTGTACACGAACCTCGGCAGTCTCCTGAAAGACCTCGGCCAACTGAAGATGGCCATTGCAATGTACGAGCAAGCGGTCCATTGCGACGGCAATTTCGACATTGCGCTGGCGAATCTGGCCAATGCTGTGAAAGACGACGGAAGGATAGCCGACGCTATTGTGTACTACAAACGCGCCGTCAAAGTCAACCCGGACTTTGCTGAAGCGGTATGTGGCTTGGCAAACGCCTTGAATTCTGTCTGTGGATGGGCAGGCCGAGGTGGCATTGCGGCCGACGGCGGCAAACGCGATCGTTGGCATGTGGATGAGCACGGCATGCTGCTCGATGCTACAAAGCCTGGCGCTGTCAGCACCGGGTGGCTCAAGCGTGTTGTGGATCTGGTCGAAAAGCAGTTGGGCGAAGGCGAGGATTGGGGACGTGGATCGCTCAATGTCAACTTCATGCAGGCCATGATCCAAGTGCTTGCCTTCACGAGCAACAACAAACGGGACACGCAGGAGCGAGTCGACGAGATGAAGAGGACGCTGAAGAGTTGGTTTGGCCACAAATGGGAGGGACACCGCCTAGTCCGCATGGCTGAACGCGCCATTCGTCGCCTTGGCTGGCAGTGGTATCAGGACAGATGGATCAGAGGCAAGGAACGTTCGCGGTCTCACTACCGCAGGCCCTTGCTGCCATCTGGTCTCACCGTTCCGACAGCCCCCACGGTGTTGCCTTTCCATACCTTCACTTGTCCCATGTCCGCCAAACAGATTCGATTGATTTCTCAAAGGAACGGGCTTCGGATATCAGTCTCAACCCTCAAGGCTCCATGGCTGCCTCAGACCGTCTTTGAGCCGCCTGCCCCACCAAACCCTTATCTCAAGGTCGGATATGTGTCCTCTGACTTCAACAACCATCCGCTGGCCCATCTCATGCAGTCGGTATTTGGCATGCATGACCGTACACGAGTCAAGGCCTATTGTTATGCGACGACGCTGAGCGACAATTCTCCGCACCGGCAGCAGATCGAAAGAGAAGCCCCTGTCTTCTACGATGCTCACTCATGGTCAGCAGAAAGGCTCGTCCAACAGATCATCAAGGACGGCATCCACATCCTGATTAACCTGAACGGGTACACGCGTGGTGCACGCAACGAGGTCTTCGCTGCTCGGCCTGCACCAGTCCAGATGTCATTCATGGGGTTTGCGGGCACTCTCGGGGCTGAATGGTGCGATTACCTCCTCGCAGATGACACTGCAGTCCCTCCGAGCACGCTGCGGCCATGGCGGAGAAATGTGGATCTCGAGGATCAGCTGGTGGACGAGAACAGTGGAGGCGACCAGGACGATTGGGTCTACGGTGAGAACATCATCTACTGCAAGAATACGTTCTTCTGTTGCGATCACCGCCAGAGCGCCCCGGATGTGCAAGGAGAACATCTCGATTGGGAACAGGAACAAGCCAGGAGATGGCAGATGCGCAAAGAGATCTTCCCAGATTTGCCCAACGACGTCATCATCCTTGGAAACTTCAACCAGTTATACAAGGTAAGCTATCTTCCTCATTTACTCTGCCAGGTGTCTTGGAGTAGATTGGCTAACTTGTTCTCTAGATCGAGCCCACGACGTTCCGTACATGGCTTCGAATTCTGGCCAACTTACCTACTGCCATCCTTTGGCTACTTCGCTTCCCAGACGTTGGCGAGACTCATCTCAAACAGACGGCTCTCGCCTGGGCAGGGCCGGAGGTTGCTTCCCGCGTCATCTTCACTGATGTCGCTCCCAAACACCAGCATATATCCCGTGCTCGTGTGTGCGATCTCTTCCTCGACACGCCCGAGTGCAATGCGCATACTACGGCCGCAGATGTGCTCTGGAGCGGCACACCCTTGCTCACCCTACCGCGCTATCCGTATAAGATGTGCTCTCGCATGGCAGCATCGATTCTCAAGGGCGCCCTCCCGGACAATCACGCCGGACACCAGGCGGCAAAGGAGCTCATTGCCACAGATGAAGCCGACTATGAGCGTCTCGCCATAGCATTGGGAAGCAGCATAAGATACCATGGCCATCGGATCAGCGGTCGGCTTGCGGATTTGCGGAGGTTGTTGTACGAGAGCAGGTTGAGTTCTGCTCTTTTCGACACGAAGAGGTGGGTTATGGACTTGGAGGAAGCGTACGAGTCTGCCTGGGATCGTTGGGTACATGGTCAAGGCGGGGACATTTGGCTCAAGGGGAGTCGACCAGAAGGCTTGCAGCCTGTTCCGACGTGGTGGAACTACAGTCGACCGACGAGATGGAGCAAGGCGTCGGAGGAGGGTGACTGAGACAATGGATTCCCGACTGGCGACGATTCAGGAGACATGTCTCGCGGATGCTTTCTGCAGATTTGTGGCTGAAACTGGTCGGAAGACGGGGTTCCGACGATGCACAACGAGGTTGACGGTTTCAGCCATCCGCTCTACAAGGCCTTCCAGAAGTTCATCGTTCCGGGTGGTCATGCTCGATCGTTGAAGGCTACTGTCACGCCCGCTCTTGTGGGACGGTGCTCTTCCTAGGCCACAGTCTCGTCGCCTAGTGGTTGGAGTTTTTCGGTGTTTAAGAGCCGAGCATTCAAACTAAATATCGGAGTGGTGGTGGACGGCGCACTATATCCTTCTGTTGCTTGTTTACATACCTTGGATACATCCGCCGGGTTACTAGGCCTGGCTGGCAGAGTTTCATTTTTCTGGGTAGTTGGAGCAAAGGCTTTCGTCATTTTTTGTTTATCTACCGTTGACCGTTTTGACTTGGGCACTTAGCGCCCATGACCGCCCCCAGCGCTGCCGTCGACGTTCCATATACCATTACCATCGTTGTTGCATTCCGGCGTTCATTTGGAGGCGGCTTTGTGTTTCATTGGGCATTGAAGAGAAGATTACACCTTGGGATTATTGTGCCCGCCCAATCGACGTGGGGGAAGATGACTGGGGACCATCCTTCATCCATTCACTTCTCGCGGTTTGAGTAATGGACGCTCTTTAACCCCCCCAGCACTTCTTCCCCCGTCACTTGGGGCTGTGGCTGCTTTGCTTTTCCGCGCACGACCTGCATGTGCGCAGCGCTATTCTACATGTGCCCCTCTGCTTTGCGAATAGATACCCGACTTTTGCTCCTCTCCCAGAAGTGTTTTCTAGTGCGACCAAACGGTTTCTTTGACAACAACAACAACAACAATCTTCAAATGTAGAGTTTTCGCTGTTCGCTTTGCTGTCCGTCATGTAGCGGACCCTCGATTCAATACTCCGCCGTGGGAAGGGAGCTGTGACGTGATTCTGCCCTTTGATGTTGTCAGTTCTCTTGCGAACAAGGCACCCTTTCTGCGCGCGGTTAATGTACTCCCTCAGCCGTCAGTCAATGCTGCACGGTTGGAGTTATCCCCGGTTGGCTTCTTTTTCCTTGGGCTGTTTCAACGATTACTCATATATGCCGCGAGAATTCTGATGTACGGTACACAAGAAAGAAATTCGGCCGAGGTGTAGACATGGAATGGTATACATACTAGTTGTCCACCAGCGAAGCCGAGGCAGCAGCGACGTGGTGGCGTGCCTGCCGAGGCGTAGCTAGGGTGTTACGTTAAACATTAAGGAACGGAGAATCTTCGAGGGCCACTTCAGGTCTAGCGTAGAAAATCTAGCCTTCCCATTGGTTAGTTTAAAAAACAAATCATATGATTTCGTGTTTCTCCATTATCCCGTCCCACGCGTCGCGTACACTATTAACTACCGCCACCAGCAACCGAATACCACTACCAGCGACCGAATACCGCCACCAGCGACGAGCGAATACCACCACCAACGGTGAGCGAATACCCCTAGCAGCGGCGGCGGTAAGTACCAATAGCGGCGGCGGCGAGCGTTCACCACCAGCAGCGGCGGCGGCGAGCACCAGCAACGGCGGCGGCGAGCTTTCACCACCAATAACAGCGACGGCGGCGGCAAGCACTAGCAGCGGTAACGGCGAGCGAATACCACCGGTAGTAATTACGATCTATAATTATGAGTGACAAAGCCCCAGCCTCGCTGGTGGACCCTTTGATAGATTTTGCCTTCGCCAATCTATCAACTGCTCATGTTACTAGTTGTCCGTAAGCTGTTGCAACGTTGAATGTCAATGTTTCAACGGCACACAGCATTGCATGGAATTGCTCTTATGCGAAATGCTGTATTCAAACAAGATCCAGACTCCAGACAGGTGCTTTAAACATCTAGCTTCCCATCCTGAGGTCATTGTTGGAGCATGTGATTTTCACTCATTTGTTTCAGATCCTTCCGACGCCCGTCAATAGGTTGGCGCCAACGGTTTTATGGCACCTACCGCGGTTAGGTTAAAAAAAAAGAAAATTCGGTCTTCCACACTACTGGCTAATTGCGAAAAGTGTAAACCCCTCGCTTAAGAGATTTAGGGGCAAACATCATGTTTATATCAATCGACCACATTTGCGATTGATGGGACTCAACCTCAACATACAACGCTCAACGTATAGACAACACGCGGAGGAAGAAAGGTATTAAGGTGCCAGACCTGCCCACTACTCACTCAAACAAGACACCCATACCCGCTCCTTCAAAAGGAAACGAATGGCTCATTACTAGACCCGACCATAACTCGTACACCAAGACCTACACACACTACTCAATGTCAACGTATATATGTACAAGTAGATTGTTCACTTATATATCAGAAACCACCGGACCACCAGACATTTCTACGAAAAGAAAATGACAATTTAAAGCTGACAATGAAACGACCATCCATATATCCCCCTTACAGCACGGGGGCGTCAGGTAAGGACACCGACACTTCGGGTACGCACGCACGCATCCGCACGTTTCGGTTTCATGTTATCAGTTTTTTTTCTTGACCGGTGGGCGGCAGTAGCGGCGGAGGCGACGGCACGGTGGGGAAGAAGTAGTAGTAGGTAGTCAGTTTTGGTTTTGATCACTGCGATTATACGACAACAACAACAACAACAAGGCGAGCAAATCGGCACCAAGGCAAAGTACAGTGTCATTACTACAAACGCACCACGATTCACGTGGAGGAGGAGAAAACCCACGGCTAGATAGATGTCGAAGTCTGGGTTCGCTCATGGATGGCCGGCTAAAGACATGATAACGCCATCGATATATGTCCGTATGTACAATCAACGAGCCCGGAGACGGCAACCGATATCTGCCGTTGTCCTTATAATGGGGCCACCGTTAGTGAAACGTCCATGGGGCCACCGTTAGTGAAACGTCCATACATACCCCTGGCGCGCCGCGCACGTCGCCTACTTTTGATCCACGCTACGACACGTCGACGCCCCCTTTGTCTGCGACATCGTCCCTTACGTCCTCCCTTGCTAGACTCACCATCTAGATATATAAGAAGGGGAAGTGGGTGAGGCAGGTGGGTTGGCATTGTGGTGTTGGGAGGAAGTCTTGGGGCGGAGTGGAGGCTCGGCCCGCCTGGTTGGGGGGGCGGTGTTGGGCGGGCTGTGGAAAGTTTACCTGGCATATGCTTCGTTGTCCGCTGGACATGAGCCTCGGCAGAGACGGAAGTGATGCGGGGAGCGTTTGACGGATCATGGTGGGTGGTGGCGGTGCGCCAATGGGGGAGGGTTGGTATGTCAGGTCTGCAAGGCGGCCAACAACCAAACATGTTTGTTTGTCTTTGCTTGTTTCAACCCAACAATCAAGCAAAGATCGAGGATTCTGTGAAACAAACAAGCAAAGATGGAGGGCTGCCATCTTTGCAAAGATCTTTGACTGTTTAGTTGGCGTATACACAGACCACTGTTATGAGAATTTTCTTGGTGTTTTGCCCCGGTTCGGCATAGACCCCCCTTGAAGAAAGAAAGGAAGAAGGGTAGGTAGGAAGAGGGAGGATAGAAGAAAGGGAAGGAGGAGGGTGGAGGCCCCGGGAGGGAGGGGGTGTCCTATGCCGAATCGGGACAAAACACCAAGAAAATTCTCATGATAGTGGTCCGTGTATACGCCAACCAAACAGTCAAAGATCTTTGCAAACAAACAAAGATTTTAGTCCTCTGCGTACCAAGCAAGCAAAGATCGGACCTCATCTTTGCTTGTCTTTGTTTACTAGCCACCTTGCAGGTCTGGTGTGGGTGTGCATGGCGGAAGGGGCAGGGCAGTGAAGTCCAAGAGCGGAGTGCATAAAAGGGTGGAAGGCAATAAGGCTCGGCATAAGATTCGAGGGGCAAGTGATGAAGTCGCGGCAGGTAGAAGAGTCATGGGTGTGGGAGGTGGTGGCTGTCGGCAGTTGCATGGCAGCATAATGCTGAAGGTCTACCAGCGGTGTGGTGGGTAGTGTCGTGGGATGCGGCGGAGCCTAATGGTGGGGCGGAACGGAATAGGGAAGATGCATGTCAGCTGCGGTGCCTTGGTTTGCGGGCCCCCCGCAGATGCATGACTTTCTCTGCTCTGGACACGGAATTGAGCAGTAGTCGCTACGGTTGGTCCCGTTAGTGCCCGCCACTGGGTGCATGCGTCAACACCATGGGTGGTTGCAAGCTAGCGATAAGATGGCTGAGGGAAGCTGAGTGGAGGAAAAGGGATGTGGTGGATGGGTGGGTTGGTGCCGGAAGACGATGTGCATGCTGCATCATGCTCTCTTGCGTACGTACCGTCACTGAAGGGCTGGTTGGGCAGTAATGGGTGGTAGGCCGGCCGGAAAACATGCCTCCGATGGGCGGCCCTCTGCCGTGTAACGTCTGGTTGGTATGTGGAGCGGGGTGTTGGTGATATGTGTGCGAGTCTAGGTGCGGCTGCATCCGCCAACCCAGGTTCCAGCTCTCATGCGTGCCTTGCGGGCTTACAGGCGTTGGTCTAGAGCTATGTGGCGGCAAGCGGGACGTGGGCGTGGTGGAGGTCAGAGTGAGTCGTCGAGTTCAGTACCTTGAGGTGCGCCTGACCGGGATTGCGGATGCGGGTAGACGGTAGTGGTGTCGCCAAGTCATGTGGATGTTAAGCAAGGGACCAGATGGGGCGTTCTTCTCCTCGGCCAGACATGTCCCTGGTTTTTTCTGTTTTGTTTTTCGAAGTGTCTCGGGTTGAAGCTGGAGTCCGGACGAGGCGGTAGTGGAGCCGTCGAGCGTGGGATGAAGAGCGGACAGCGCGGTAAATTGCGTACGAGTGGCAACTTTTCAAAGAGAGCCATGCCTCGTGAGAAGATTGCAGGGCCGGGCAAAGCCGGCAGGGTTGCGAGAAGGGGGAGGGAGACTGGGTAGTGCACGCCGTGCAAGTACCCGCGACTAGACCAGATGGAAAGTCCGCAAGCCATGCCT